TCAGTGTTGGGCCCCCTGCTGTTCACAATCTACATAAACGACATAGATGAGGGCATAAAGAGCGACATCGGCAAGTTTGCCGATGACACCAAAATAGGCCGTCGAATTCATTCTGACGAGGACATTCGAGCACTCCAGGAAGATTTGAATAGACTGATGCAGTGGTCGGAGAAGTGGCAGATGCAGTTTAATATAGACAAATGCAAAGTTCTAAATGTTGGACAGGACAATAACCATGCCACATATAAACTAAATAATGTAGATCTTAATATTACGGATTGCGAAAAAGATTTAGGAGTTCTGGTTAGCAGTAATCTGAAACCAAGACAACAGTGCATAAGTGTTCGCAATAAAGCTAATAGAATCCTTGGCTTCATATCAAGAAGCATAAATAATAGGAGTCCTCAGGTTGTTCTTCAACTCTATACATCGTTGGTTAGGCCTCATTTAGATTATGCTGCACAGTTTTGGTCACCTTATTACAGAATGGATATAAATTCTCTGGAAAATGTACAAAGGAGGATGACAAAGTTGATCCCATGTATCACAAACCTTCCCTATGAGGATAGACTAAGGGCCCTGAATCTGCACTCTCTAGAAAGACGTAGAATTAGGGGGGATATGATTTAGGTGTATAAATGGAAGACAGGAATAAATAAAGGGGATGTAAATAGTGTGCTGAAAATATCTAGCCTAGACAGGACTCGCAGCAATGGTTTTAAGTTGGAAAAATTCAGATTCAGGAAGGATATAGGAAAGTACTGGTTTGGTAATAGAGTTGTGGATGAGTGGAACAAACTCCCAAGTACCGTTATAGAGGCCAGAACGTTGTGTAGCTTTAAAAATAGGTTGGATAAATACATGAGTGGATGTGGGTGGGTGTGAGTTAGACCTGATAGCTTGTGCTACCAGGTCGGTTGCCGTGTTCCTCCCTTAAGTCAATGTGACCTTACCTGACTAGGTTGGGTGCATTGGCTTAAGCCGGTAGGAGACTTGGACCTGCCTCGCATGGGCCAGTAGGCCTTCTGCAGTGTTCCTTCGTTCTTATGTTCTTATGTTCAAAGACTATAACATTGTATCGGTCACATCTGTTAGAAAAGTTACAGGATGGATAATGAGAACCTTCAAAACTAAGGGTGCCAAGCCCATGATGACAGTCTTAAAGTCACTTGTTCTATCTAGGCTGGAATATTGCTGCACTCTAACAGCACCTTTCAAGGCAGGTGAAATTGCTGACCTAGAAAATATACAGAGAACTTTTATGGCACACATAACTGCAATAAAACACCTCAGTTATTGGGAATACTTAAAGTTCCTCAACCTGTACTGCCTAGATTGCAGATGGGAGAGATACATGATTATATACACTTGAAAAATCCTAGAGGGATTAGTATCAAACTTGCACATGAAAATCACTCCCTATGAAAGCAATAAAGACTCGGCAGGAGATGCAACATTCCCCCGAAGAAAAGCAGGGGTGCCACTAGCACGATAAGAGACAACACAGTAAGTGACAGGGACCCAAGACTGTTCAACTGCCTCTCAGCATACATAAGGGGGATTACCAATAGACCCCTGACTGTCTTCAAACAGGCACTGGACAGGCACCTGAAGTCGGTACCTGACCAGCCGGGCTGTGGTTCGTACATCTGATTGTGTGGCCAACAGTAACAGCCTGGTTGATCAGGCCCTGAGCCACCATGAGGCCTGGTCACAGACCGGACCGCGAGGGCGTTGACCCCCGAAACCCTCTCCTGGTATACCCCAGGTATACAACTCAGCGGAACTTAGGTAATAGTTTACGTTTTACAGTACGTACATTTAACGTTTATACACTGGACAGCGCTGTATGACCCTTGTGGGTTTAGTACTTTGTTTTGATTATAATAATAATACACTATGGAAAAGTATTGCTTCATAAATGCTCTTTTTGGAGATATTAGCAAAAGTACTTTATTACATTAATTTTGGTTGCGTAGCACGTCTTGGAAGTCAACGCTTAGTATTGTCATACACCTGGCCAAACATAAAAAACAAAAGCGGCATATCTACCGATGGTAGTGTCAGATTAAGATATGTTATATTAGGTTGGGTTAGTGGCTTTTGTTAGGTTACAGTTTTTACCATTTGCTCAACAAAACAGTAATATAAAATCAACGTAATATACAATTTATACTGCTGAAGAACAGTCATCTATTGTTGTCAGATTTAATAAACAAGTTTCCATGTTATAACTTGTAAATGTCTCCTTTATTGGCCTCAAGTCTTCAGTGTTGATAATTAACTACATTAGAAGTTTTCCTTTCGAGGTAGATCAGGCTAGGCTTATTGCATGTAGAGATAACTTTCTTGGCTCTTACTTTGACCAGAACACAACTAATTTATTTAGGTTAGCTGTTATGTACTGTATATAAAATATTACATAGTACTGTATATGCAAAAGTGACATTTAATTTGGTTTGTCAAGCATACAGTTTGGAAATACTATTGGGCTGACAAGCTCTGAGTTGGCTAAACTCTGCAAAACTTTGAGGCAGTTGTGATAAGTTAGGGTGTGTAATACAGTAAGTTGTTGGGGCTTTAGGAGAGACTGACATCTTATGGCATATAAGAGCCTTTCCTGCCAATGTTTGGGAGAGAAAATTGCTCATTGTAAGCAGAAAAGGAAAATAAGATAAGCAGTCTCAATTAGGTCAGGTAGTTCCCTGGCCTTTTTCCTGTGTAAGCCTTGTGATATATACGTACAGTGGACCCCTGGATATTGTAGTCATTGTACACCTACCATCCGACTTACGACCTGCTCGACTTATGACCACTCGACTTACAACCGTGTTTTTTATGCCAAATTTCTGGGAAATAAACAACTATTTGTGTTGTACACAGTGTTTATCCGAAACCTTACAGTATAAAGTACAGTATTAACAACATAAAAGGTAAAGTAAAACATGAAATACCAAAATAAAACAATAAAATAAAGTCATTACAAAAATGTTTTGTTGATATTCAGTAGTAAAGTTCGACTTACGACCATTTCGACTTACGACCGGTTTCTTGGAACCGAACTCGGTCATAAGTCGGATGGTAGGTGTATTTCATAATGTTCAGAAATCGTAACTTTTTTTCTTCTTCAAAATATTGGCTTGATCATCATTGAGCTCAGTAATAGTCATTCATCTCGAATGCGTCTGCACGGCAACAGCAGCCCGACACTCAGTGTGCCATTGTTTATCGGCCAGTGAGCACAATCCCTCACGTTCATACGATGCATTTCATATTATTCCATTCTTTTTAGTGCTTGCAACTGTTAACCCGTAAATGGTCCAAATGTATATATACGTTCACTACCCCAGTGACCCGAATATTTTGAAAAATAAAAAAAAAATTTTTTTTTTTATTGAAAAAAAGAGCACATTTTTCTAAGTGTTATAGGATAAAAAAAAATGTTTAGGATCAGTACTTACCAAGATATGAGGCCGAGAAGTTGGCACTGGATGCTCACGTGACGGCAACATAGAGTCCTGCCGCTTGTACCATGGGCCCAAAGAAAGTTCCTAGTGCCAGCCAGCCCTTTGGTAAAGGGCTGAGAGAGAGGGGAGAATGTGCCTTCTTCAGTGATTCTGCGATATGTATGATACTAAAGCAGCAGGAGTCGATAAAGGCTATAGTGCCAGCCAGCAATAAAGTGTAGCACTAACAGTGTAGCAAGTAAGTTAAGAGATTTATCGATAGAAAAAGGACAGCACGAAACCGACTCCTCCAATGTTGTTGGAGGTATATAGGGATACTGACTAACACCGCCACCATCACCACCACTATGTAAGGCTTATCTTTAAGTGGCCTTTGTACACCCAACAGCAAGCAACACAACAACACTTGTCATATACTTAATGACATATTTTATTCATTCTAGAGTATATGTCATGCTTCTTTGTTATTAATATTGTCATATTAGATGGATTGTGCTAAATAAATAAGCCATAGGGTTGATATTGAAGGACTATTTTGTCCTGTCTCCCAGCACACTCCCCTACTGCCACTACAATTCCTAACATACACCAGAAACAGACCTCTTTGGAACACTTTTTTGAGCGACAGGGGTCCAGTGACTCTCAGGCTGGTCCTAGTGGCATTAAAAAACAAAGAAGGGAAGTAACCCTGGAAAAGGACTTGGTACCTGAAGTCTTTATGGAAGGGGATTCCCCTTCCAAACAGTAATTTCTCCATTCTCTCCCCTCCTCCTGTCTTCAATACACTAAGAAGAGTCTTCAATAAAGGAAAGTCATGTTATTATTGTTTTATTCATGTCTCATTGTTTTCTGTGTAGGTAAATGTATATTTCATGTAAAAAAATATTTTTCTTAATACTTTTGGATGTCTGGAATGGATTAATTGGATTTGTTATTTCTTATGGGGAAAATGAATTCGGAAATCGTCAAATTCGGCTTTAGTTACATTCTGTGGAACTTATTAATTACGATAACCTAGGGTCCACTGTACTGTATGTATATCGCCTCCTTTCTTCATATCAGCCAACATAGACATTTTCAGTGTTTGTACCAAGGATCCCAATGGAAATAAGTCATTTTGAATTTTTTGAGGGTTATCCTAGGCAATCTATACATATGCTGCTGTGTATAATTTTTATGCAAATATTTATGTGCAACTATACCTGAATAACCTTACTTATCATAATTCATAAAGTGGATAACAACTCTTAGCCTGTAAAACTGATTTGTGTAAAAAGAAAAGTACAGTATAATTTTTTCCGGCAGAGGATGCAACCCCCAGCTGGTCTGACAGCATCCATAACTCTTGCCACTTGGCTGTCTGTTGGCATAAAATGCTTATCATTTCTAGTTGTGTATTGAACTGGGGGTCTCCTAGGACACTGACAGCCCACAACCCACATAACACCACTCCTAACACCAGCTCAATATGGTGCTGCATTTTCATTTTGACTTCAAGTTTAGCTTTAATATTCATTAGAAATATATTTTCAGGATATTGTTGAGGGGGCTCATCCAGAGAATCCAGTTCTTCAGATATTGGTATGTAATTTTTTGTTAGTAATGACACTGTATTTGGTAATGCAGTATGTAATTTTAATTGTGCAATATTGGTGAAATTTTTGAAGTCTCGACTACTTTTAGATATGTTTTTTGGAATTTGATGATACATATACATAAGACAAATCAAATATAAATATTTACATATTAATATCCTATTATCATAATATAAATTTCATGCAGTCCATGAAGCGCATTCCTAGTGGTGCTCAAGAGCGCTACCGCCTACTGTTGTCAGATGGCCACTGGACAAGCAGCTTTGCTATGTTAGCCACACAGCTCAATAGCATGGTTGGCTCTGGTGAGATCTCCAATAACTGCATAATCACACTGAAACGTTACATTTGTAATACTGTTCAAGATAATAAGAAGGTAAGATTGCATATACTGTATTGTACATGATTAAATTTTAAGAATGCTTTTGGTGAATCATTTAAAGTTAACTATAAATGCCATTTTAATGAGAGAATGGACTGCAGAAGTTATGATTTACATTTATTATTTATTGTTAGTGATATAGTGTACTTCAAACACTTCTTACATTATACTACTGTCTAATCTACCCTTGCCTATCTTAAGGTATTTGTGTTTTGGGATCTACTACACCAAATCACCTAAAACCATTAATAACCCAACAAAGAGCCTCTGTACGATCTGTCACCCATTCCAGTGCCAGACAGCAACACCCCCCCCTAACCCCACTCTTCAAAAGTTTGAACTAACTTAGTACACAAAATATGCACTTGTATTACTGTATACCTGCTATATATATATATACTAAAGAACAATAAACTCTCCCATAAACCCTCTTAAAACTTTTCCTTGATAGCTGCAACAGAACACAGGCATAATGTAAAACATAACCTTCTTTAATATCCCCCATCTCCAACTCAACCTGTGCCAAAGCTCAGTGGCATAAAATACCCCAAGATTTGGAATTCATTGCCTGATGCATCAAACGGCCTCCTGTCTGCCAATTGATTTATTGTTTTTGTTAAAAAGCACCTTGTCTTCCCAATGTAACTAAACCAGCATTATGCTGTGGGAAACAAAACCAGCTCATCCAGTTCTGTTCCTGTTCTTTTTGCAGTCTTCCTCCAACTCCTGTAGAAAATAAATTACTCATCTTGTTCCATAATATTTTTATTGTAAGTAACCACCTGTATTTTCACTAACTCTATTGAATCACTCCTCAAAACTGAAGACATTGAATCAGTTTGAAATAAATCATACTTTTAGAATTGTACCACTTGTACATTAGCTACCTATTATTATTATTATTTTTTTTTTTTTTTATTTTTTTTTTTTTAACAAGTCGGCCATCTCCCACCGAGGCAGGGTGACCCAAAAAAGAAAGAAAATCCCCAAAAAGAAAATACTTTCATCATCATTCAACACTTTCACCTCACTCACACATAATCACTGTTTTTGCAGAGGTGCTCAGAACACAACAGCTTATAAGCATATACCTATAAAGATACACAACATATCCCTCCAAACTGCTAATATCCTGAACCCCTCCTTTAGAGTGCAGGCATTGTACTTCCCATTTCCAGGACTCAAGTCCGGCTATATAAAAATAACCGGTTTCCCTGAATCCCTTCACTAAATATTACCCTGCTCACACTCCAACAGATCGTCAGGTCCTAAATACCATTTGTCTCCATTCACTCCTATCTAGCACGCTCACGCACGCTTGCTGGAAGTCCAAGCCCCTCACCCACAAAACCTCCTTTACCCCCTCCCTCCAACCTTTTCGAGGGCAACCTCTACCCTGCCTTCCTTCCACTACAGATATATACGCTCTCCATGTCATTCTACTTTGATCCATTCTCTCTAAATGACCAAACCACCTCAACAACCCCTCTTCTGCCCTCTGACTAATACTTTTATTAACTCCACACCTTCTCTTAATTTCCACACTCCGAATTTTCTGCATAATATTTACACCACATATTGGCCTTAGACAGGACATCTCCACTGCCTGCAACCGCCTCCTCGCTGCTGCATTCACAACCCAAGCTTCACACCCATATAGAGTGTTGGTACTACTATACTTTCAAACATTCCCTTCTTTGCCTCCATAGATAACGTTTTTTGTCTCCACATATACCTCAACGCACCACTCACCTTTTTTCCCTCATCAATTCTATGATTAACCTCATCCTTCATAAATCCATCCGCCGACACATCAACTCCCAAGTATCTGAAAACATTCACTTCTTCCATACTCCTCCTCCTCCCCAATTTGATATCCAGTTTTTCTTTATCTAAATAATTTGATACCCTCATCACCTTACTCTTTTCTATGTTCAGTTTCAACTTTCTACCTTTACACACACTCCCAAACTCATCCACTAACCTTTGCAATTTTTCTTTAGAATCTCCCATGAGCACAGTATCATCAGCAAAAAGCAACTGTGTCAATTCCCATTTTGTATTTGATTCCCCATAATTTAATCCCACCCCTCTCCCGAACGCCCTAGCATTTACTTCTTTAACAACCCCATCTATAAATATATTAAACAACCATGGTGACATTACACATCCCTGTCTAAGACCTACTTTTACTGGGAAGTATTCTCCCTCTCTTCTACACACCCTAACCTGAGCCTCACTATCCTCATAAAACTCTTTACAGCATTTACTAACTTACCACCTATTCCATATACTTGCAACATCTGTCACATTGCTCCCATATCCACTCTATTATATGCCTTTTCTAAATCCATAAATGCAATAAAAACTTCCCTACCTTTATCTAAATACTGTTCACATATATGCCTCAATGTAAACACTTGATCTACACATCCCCCACCCACTCTGAAACCTCCTTGCTCATCTGCAATCCTAAGTTGTCATACCTCTAATTCTTTCAATTATAACCCTACCGTACACTTTTTCCTGTTTTTTTTTTTTTCAACAAGTCGGCCGTCTCCCACCGAGGCAGGGTGACCCAAAAAAGAAAGAAAATCCCCAAAAAGAAAATACTTTCATCATCATTCAACACTTTCACCACACTCGCACATTATCACTGTTTTTGCAGAGGTGCTCAGAATACAACAGTCTAGAAGCATACACATATAAAGATACACAACATATCCCTCCAAACTGCCAATATCCCAAACCCCTCCTGGTATACTCAGTAAACTTATTCCTCTATAATTTTTACAATCTCTCTTGTCCCTCTTCCCTTTATATAAAGGGACTATGCATGCTCTCCGCCAATCCCTAGGTACCTTCCCCTCTTTCATACATTTATTAAACAAAAATACCAACCACTCCAACATTGTCCCCCCCTGCTTTTAACATTTGTCATAATCCCATCAGTTCCAGCTGCTTTACCCCCTTTCATTCTGCGTAATGCCTCACGCACCTCCCCCACACTCATATCCTGTTCTTCTTCACTCCTAAAAGATGGTATACCTCCCTGGCCAGTGCATGAAATTACCGCTTCCCTTTCTTCGTCGACATTTAAAAATTACTCAAAATATTCTCGCCATCTATCCAAAACCTCCATCTTCCCATCTACTAACTCCCCTACTTTGTTTTTAACTGACAAATCCATTCGTTCTCTAGACTTTCTTAACTTGTTTAACTCGCTTCAAAATTTTTTCTTATTTTTATTAAAATTTCTTGTCATGCCTCTCCCACTCTATCATCTGCTCTCCTTTTGCTCTCTCTTACCATTCTCTTCACCTTTCTTTTACTCTCCATATACTCGACCCTTCTTATAACACTTCCACTTTGTAAAAACCTCTCATAAACTAACTTTTTCTCTTTTGTCACACCCTTTACTTCATCATTCCACCAATCACTCCTCATTCCTCCTCCACCCACTCTCCAATAACCACAAACTTCTGCCTCACATTCTAATACTGCATTTTTAAAACTATTCCAATCCTCTTCAACCCCCTTCCCCCTACTCATACTTGCACCAGCCCACCTTTCTGCCACTAGTTGCTTATATCTCACCCGAACTTCCTCCTCCCTTAGTTTATACACTTTCACCTCCCTCTTGCTTCTTGTTGCCATTTTCCTCTTTTTCCCATCTACCTCTTACTTTAACTGTAGCTACAACTAAATAATGATCCGATATATCAGTTGCCCCTCTATAAGCTTGTACATCCTGGGGACTACCCATCAACCTTTTATCCACCAATTCATAATCTAACAAACTACTTTCATTACGTGCTATATCATACCTTGTATATTTATTTATCCTCTTCATAAAATATGTATTACTTATTACCAAACCTCTTTCTACACATAGCTCAATTAAAGGCTTCCCATTTTCATTTACCCCTGGCACCCCAAATTTACCTACTACTCCCTCCACAACATTTTTGCCCACTTTAGCATTTGAAATCCCCAACCTCCATTACTCTCACACTTGGTTCAAAACTCCCCACGCATTCGCTCAACATTTCCCAAAATCTCTCTCTCCTCTACACTTCTCTCTTCTCCAGGTGCATAGATGCTTACTATAACCCACTTTTCACATCCAACCTTTATTTTACTCCACATAAGCCTTGAATTAATACATTTGTAGTCCTTTTCCTGCCATAACTTATCCTTCAACATTATTGCTACTCCTTTTAGCTCTAACTCTATTTGAAACCCCTGACCTAATCCCATTTATTCCTCTCCACTGAAACTCTCCCACCCCCTTCAGCTTTGTTTCACTTAAAGCCAGGACATCCAGCTTCTTCTCATTCATAACATCCACAATCATCTCTTTCTTATCATTTGCACAACATCCATGCACATTCAGACTTCCCACTTTGACAATTTTCTTCTTATTCCTTTTAGTAATTATTACAGGAAAAGGGGTTACTAGCCCATTGTTCCCGGCATTTTAGTTGACTTTTACAATATGCATGGCTTACGGAGGAAAGATTCTTATTCCACTTCCCCATGGATATAAAAGGAAAAGTAAGACCAAGAACTATTAAGAATAAAATCAAAGAAAACTCAGATGAGCCTGTATAAATAAGCATGTACGTGTAGTGTGACCTAAGTGTAAGTAGAAGTAGCAAGACGTACCTGTAATCTTGCATATTTATGAGACAGACAAAAGACACCAGCAATCCTACCATCATGTAAAACAATTACAGGCTTTCGTTTCACACTCACTTGGCAGGAAGGTAGTACCTCCCTGGGCGGTTGCTGTCTACCAACCTACTACCTATATTATTATTGTTGTTCTTCTTTCTTTCTTTCAACACAATGGCTGTATCCCACTGAGGCGGTGGCCCCAAAAGGAAAAACGAAAGTTTCCCCTTTTACATTTAGTAATGTATACAGGAGAAGGGGTTACTAGCCCCTTGCTCCCGGCATTTTAGTCGCCTCTTACAACACGCATGGCTTAC